ACTTTACACTGGACTTCAAGCAACGTGGATGAAGTGCCTCTCTTCTTTTCCTCCAGACTCTGGGACCTTGATTTCCAAAGGAAATGCAAAATTTACTTTCATCAGAGAACATGACTTTGGACCACTCACCAGCAGTCCAGTCCTGTTTCTCTTTAGCCCAGGCAAGACGCTTCTGACGCTGTCTGTGGTTCAAGAGTGGCTTGACACAAGGAATGCGACAGCAGAAACCCATGTCTTTCATACGTCTGTGTGTGGTGGTTCTTGAAGCACTCACTCCAGCTGCAGTCCACTCTTTGTGAATCTCCCCCACATTTTTGAATGGGTTTTGTTTCACAATCCTCTCCAGGGTGCGGTTATCTCTCTTGCTTGTACACTTTTTTCGACCACATCTTTTCCTTCCCTTCGCCTCTCTATTAATGTGCTTGGACACTGAGCTCTGTGAACAGCCAGCCTCTTTAGCGATGACCTTTTGTGTCTTGCCCTCCTTGTGCAAGGTGTCGATGGTCGTCTTTTGGACAACTGTCAAGTCAGCAGTCTTCCCCATGATTGTGTAGCCTATAGAACTAGACTGAAAGACCATTTAAAGGCTTTTGCAGGTGGTTTGAGTTAATTAGCTGATTAGAGTGTGGCACCAGGGGCCATCAATTTTGAACCTTTTCACAATATTCTAATTTTCTGTTATGATGAATTTGAGATTTTAATTTGTTGTCATTTGTAATCATCAAAATTAAACAAAATAAACATCTGAAATATATGAGTTTGTATGTAATGTATGAATATAATATACAAGTTTCACTTTTTAAATGGAATTACTGAAATCAATCTACTTTTTCATGATATTCTAATTTTATGACCAGCACCTGTAGTTATGCTGCTATAGGCTTAGACTGCTGGAGGACATAGGAACCTCCAATTCATCATTCTGCTTCATTCTATCTCTATCCTCCCACTATGCAGAATCTGGCTGTGACTCCATCCTGGAGAGAAATATCACCTGCGCTGCTGCCATCAACACCTTTGTTTATAGATGTTGGAGATTGGCCTGTTTTTCAGTGTAGTCCTGTTTCTCTGACTGTGACTGGCTGGATGTGCTCTCTTCATCCTCAGGGATTTGCCTCGGAGCTCATCTGCCTGGCTGTGTGTTTCCTGGACAGTTGCCTTTTGTATCTCTGCTTCTGTCTCCTTGAACCCCAGTCGGCCTCAGCAGATGGCCGCTCACACTGAGCCTGGTTCTGCTGGAGGATTCTTCCTGTTAAAAGGGAGTTTTTCCTCTCCACTGTCTCTACAAGCATGCTTAGTATGAGGGAACGCCTTCGATTCATTGAGTCGATGCAATCAGTTGGTTTTCCTTAGATAGAAAACTTTGAATCAGTTTGACTGGATGATCTGGTGAACTGTAAAGTGCCTGGAGATGAATGGTGTTGTGATTTGGCGCTATAGAAATAAACTGAACTGAGTTCTAGATGTTCACACATGCAGATATGTGTTTTCAATCTAGATTCAACGCTTGGCGTGTTTCACTACCGCTCGGCCAGCGGTCAGTACAAACTGAACTACACAGCAGCCCAACAGAGCTGCAGGGCAGAGGGAGGCACCCTGGCTACATACACTCAGCTCTCCTACGCTCAACAGGTCAGTGAACTCAGCGCAGTTAAATCCTGGTCTCGTCTGGACTTGATCTTTCTGAACTAACAGCCATTTGGGTTCACATGTGAAGGGGGGACTGAACATGTGCTCTGCCGGCTGGTTGGACCAAGGCCAAGTCGCCTATCCCACCACCTACCCCAATTCCAAGTGTGGTTTCGGGCATGTGGGCATCGTGGACTATGGCACCCGGAAAAACCTGAGTGAGACCTGGGATGCCTTCTGCTACAGGATGAAGGGTGAGAAGAAAATCTGAATGGTGAAGCTAGAAACTGTCCAGAACATGAGAACCATTGAAGTTTACTGGTTGAACGGAGTGGTAACTCCCGTCAGCTGAGGTTGATTCTTTTCTTGGTTTCAGGTGTGCAGTGTGAGTGTAAAGCTGGTTACATTGGAGATGGCTTCAGCTGTAGAGGAAGCCTGCTGCAGGTCCTCATGTCTACTCCATCCTTCTCCAACTTCCTCTTAGTGAGTCCCGCATCTTAACTCACACCGCAGCTCTTCACCGCAGTGTTCTTCTGACACTTAAGCCCATCGTTGTCTTCCCAGCATATCCTGACCCACCAAGCAGAGTCAAGACATCGGATTGTGTCAACACTCACTGACCCCAGGGTTCAGTCCACCCTGTTTGTACCAGATAACAGCGGCCTACCGTGGAACATGGTACGTCCTGATGTTAGGTCTACATTTGGGAACAGTTTCACAGCTGCAATGTAATCACATTTGCGTCCCAACAGACCCTGTCCATGCGGGACATAGAGTTTCACCTGTATGAGGGTCAGGCGCTTCCTCTGAGCCAACTGAGGAACAACAGTCGGATCAGGACCAGAGTTGGCAGCCTGACAGTCCTTAGCCAGGCCAACGTTCTCAACTCTTCTCTTCTGGTGAGTCCTTCAGATGAGGGCAGACTTAGGCTGCATTCGAATTTATGGGCTGCGTCTTCCAAGGATGCAGTCTACCTGGACTGGATCCCTCGAAGTACGTGAAAATAAGGAGACCGGAAAAGTTTTGGCTGTGAATTCTAACAGGTCCAGCCTTTTGCGGCTTTTACCGCGATACGCAGGGGCAGGTTTGCTATTAGGCAACACTAGGCAGTTCCTGGGGGCCCTATAAAACTGTGTTTAATAAAGCCATTCCTTATTTGTGCACCCACTCAGACCCCACCCCTTTAGTGTCCACCATATTGGATCTGTTCATTTGCTGCACATGTTCAGCATGGTCCAAAGAAAGCAGCAAACCATTGGAAAACAATGCGTAGAGCAGTGACAACTTAGCGCTGTTGTTGCTATATTTAGTGACTCTCAGACCCCTCTAGTACTTTATTTTAAAAAAAACGCGCCTAGCGCCAAATCTAGTGACTTTTTCTGCTACTGGAGACTTTGGCGACAACATCTAAAAGCAGCGAACTCTGCTCTCCAGAGCAAGTAGATTGGTAACCCCGCCTCCTGCTCTCCTCTATCTTGTCTGCTGTCATGATTCATGCAGCTATTATTTCATCCAAATGAAAAATGGAGAACAGAGAAGCAGATCATGGCTTGTCTACAGTGAAAAGAAGGACTGGGTTATTTACTTTGGCCTTTTTGGAAACACAAGAAGGAGCAATCGACTAAGTTAGATTGGTTTTAGTGATTAGAAAGAAATCTTTGATTCCTTTTGCGACAACATGAAACGTCAGCTGAGAAAGAAAAAAAACATACAGAAGAAAACAAGAAAAGTGATGAGAGGGACAAAACGTAGAATAAATAATGTATGTCTATTCCATTAAAATGTCTGTATCTCTATAATGGGTCTGTTTTATGTGTTGTCTTCTCAATTCAGAGGGCCCCCTGTCTGTCTTTGCCTAGGGCCCCAATTTTCCTAAATCCGCCTCTGGCCATACGGTCTGTCGCTTAGCAACCGTGACAATTTAAACACAAAGCAGGAAAAGAATGAATACCGAACTGTTTCATTAAAATGTTTTTTTTAATTCTTTTAATTAATTGAACAAAGGCTACACTCATGAGAATCCAGAGCGGAATAAAGGTTCCAACCACCAGGAGCATTAACAAATAAAAGCAAATATGATATAAACCTTAGTCATTTAAATAACTTGCTGCTGTCATTTTGCACATCTCTGATGTTGCTATTTTCAAATATCCATCACTGTAAAAATGGTTTCACAATGAATCCTGGGTTACCAAAGGATAAAAATGACCCATTCTTCAAATCGGGCAAAAAGTAGGATACATTTGTAGGCCACAAAACGAGGAGTCTTGGAATCAGACCAGACCTCAGCGCCGCTGAAGGACGCAGCCCATAAATTCATTTATTTAATTCTACAGCCATTTCTGCTCTTCAGGCTTCCTGTTACATCAACAACCGCTTCGTCATCAACTCCGACATCCTTGCTTCAAACGGGATCATCCACGTCCTCCAGGGACCTCTAAAAGCTCCTCCTCCCCATCAAGAAGTGAGTGTTAATGTTGCCTTTGATTACATCTTAAACAGATCCGTTACTGGTTCTGATCTGGCCCTGCAGATGCAGGTGGCCCACCAGGCCGGGATGGGAGTGGGAGTGCTTCTTCTGATCCTCCTGCTGCTTGGTGTAGTCTTTGTTGGATATCGTTTCTGCACCCACAGCAGCAAACCCTTCCAGTTCCACTACTTCAAGGCGAGTCAGATAAACTCATTTATTAGACATTTACATATTTGATCAGTTTTGATGCCGATTCCCTTTAGAACGTTTGCATTCAGCCCTTTGACCTTTACTCCTCTGTTCCTACAGGATGAGGACAAAGAAGAAGAACCTGCAGCAGAAACCGCTAACTACAGCAGCAGCATCTGTAACCCTGTTTATGAGGCTAGTCCGGAACCGGCCCCAACTTGGTCCGATGCATCTGGTTCTGCAGGGAGTCCACAGGCATCCGTTAAGGCTGAAGTGAGCTCTTGTTCCTTATTGATGCTCAGCTGTTAGAGCGACAAGATCGGGGTTAACGTGAGCATCTCTGCAGGTGGAGGACAGACATGAGGTGGTAAATGGAGGATCATATGACCTGCTGCAGGACGGCTGAGCCTGGGACCCCTCTACTGGATCAGAACCACCGAGATCAGCAGCAGAATAATTCCGAATATGGTTTAACCTAAAGAATGGAGTAATTTCTGCAGAGTGGAGCCACCGGAGCATGTTTAGGTAGCAGAACAAACTGATTGATGGCCAGATGTTAAAGTTCTAAGTGTTTGTGGTTGTGTTTGAGTTCTGGGAATAAAATAGCTTATTGACAACTGAGTCACGAGTTTTAATATTTTACATGAAATGCAAAAAAAAAAAAAAAAAAGGCATCAGTTTGTTTTAGAGCCAAACCAGGTTTAATTTAAGATAAAAAATGTTTCAGGGTTTGACTGACAATAAGTTTTATTGCTCCGTCACGTCGTCGATCCACGACCGGTAGTCTGGGAGTCCAGTAAAGATGGCCGGTTTGTCTGCTTTGCACCGTAAGCTGCCCCATGTGACCACGCCGAACAGGAAGTAGGCGCCATGCTTCCGACAGAAAAGAGGAGCTCCAGAGTCTCCCTGCAGACAGAGAACAAAGGTCTGATTTGATGGCATGGGTTTTTACCCAGTGGTACTGGTTAACTGTTGCTTTAAGGTCTCAGGGACATTGTGCATCATGGCTTAGCTTCCTGCAGAGGCCCATAGTTACCATGCATGAAGCTGAGCCTGCAGGATCTGAACAGATGTGATCTTCGCCGATGAAGTCTCCCCACTTCTGAAAGCAGGTAGTTTGGTTGACCAAGGTCAGCGCAGCATGATGCAGATAACTGGGATTTATGTTCTCTGAAAAGAAGGAGAATTTGAGCAGGAAAAGGTTAATATTTTTAAGAACCTGGAGATTTCCCCTTTGGAACGGGTTCTCCATGTTCAGCGGTTAATGAACAAACCAATTAAGGGCTGCGCCTTTCATGTCTGCAAGGCTTTGGACAGTGTCCAGGATCGGTTTTCCGAGGGTAGTGCAAATGGGGCTATAAAGTATTATTGATTTACCACGTGCAAAAGCTCTTTGCTTTTGTTAACTCTTCAAATGATTCATAAATGGAATATGATTTTTTTTAAACCATCTCCATTTTCTTATTTTAGGTGCAGTCAATATGAAAGAACTCCATGTTTTACATCCAATATCCCAGCTCAGAACGAATGCATTCAAACAGCTGCTTCCCCTCAGGGTTCAGTAAGAACCAACCAGAAACCCTGAACATCTCACCCTTGCAGACAAGCAGTAACCTCAGAACAGTTGGTTCCTGTGGGAACGAACCATTGGACCTTCGTCTCTTGAAAGACTTATCAGAATAGTTACCATTTTACTGAACAGATCTACAGAACGTCAGGCGTTCTCCTGCTCTCTCACCTGTTGCTTCAGTTCTTCCCCATCCCGCTGTGAAACAGGACCAGCTTTCATCCAGTTCCTCGTCTTCCTCAGGGACACATATTGGAGACACTTTTGGACCTCGAGACAGAACCAAGGGACATTTTCACAGAATTGCAGGAGAGGCTGGAGAGTGAGCTAACTGAATAACCTCTGTGCTGGTCTTTTATCATTGGGTTTTACAGGGAACTTGATCAGAGTTGTTGCAGGTTCTCTCCATCTGCGGAGATTCTTACCATATCTGGCCGAGACACTGAGGCGGAGCAGCGACAGGTCTGCCTGAGGAGGGAAGCCGGCTCCATGCATGGGGCTGAAGACCTCGTCCACCAGGATGGTTTGGCTTGACTTCTTACCCAAACCATGGACTCCAAGGACAGCTACATCTTCTTTGGCACTGTTCGGAAAACAAATCTGAGTGTTTCCTGCAGTGGAAGTCGAGGGCACCTTGTGAGCTGGCCAGAGGTTCACCTGACGCTGCAGTGTTTCGCTGTGACCACCCAGCGGTGGTGGATCAGAACTCCGCTGCAGTAGTGCTGACCGTTGGACTGCAGGCTGACCATCCATGGCCAGAAGGAAGGGCAAGCCTCAGTCACATTCTCCACACGGACCTTCCCTTTCTGTGAGACAGAGATCCAAGCGGTGGCTGGAGCCTGGTTACATCTGGAGGTCCGCTGCCTGCCACACCTCTCCTCTGTGGATCAAAGATGGGTGACATGGATGGGTTCTGTAGAACCTCAAACATCTCTGCATTGAGGTGACATACCCTCCTGGGAAAGAACATCATCCAACAGCTCGTTTTCATCATCTAAGTTTGTGAGGACAAGATGTTAGTGGCCAAGACTTTGTTGGGTGAAAAAAAGCCACATTAATCCCAAGCTCACTCATTGCATCAGTGATCCACTGAACATGCTGCTGGACTTTGGTGTAGACTCCTGGTTTCTTTGCTCGACCGCAGCCAACTCCCCAACTAACCAGACCTGCCAACTCGTGTCTGGTTCCATTGAAGCAGGACAGCGGACCTCCAGAGTCCCCCTTAGACCCAAATATAAGGTTTATTTAGAAGAGAACACTAAAGGTCTTCAGTTTGACCCAATCCCATTTCATGATCACTCAGTCTGGATGCGTCCCAATGCTGCTCATTTCCACTGTTATGCTGATGATACTCAGCTATATCTGTCTATAAATTCAGATGAAGCTAACCCATTACATAGACTTCAGACATGTCTTGAAGACATAAAAGCCTTGATGACTCTTAACTCTCTGCTCCTGAAAGCAGACAAAACAGATCTCAGTGTTGTTTTTGATCAGGACCTGTCATTTAAATCCCATATCAAAGAGGTTTCTAGAATTTCCTTTCATCTGAGGAACATTGCAAAAATTAAAAATATCCTGTCCAGGTGTGATGCTGAGAAACTAGTCCACGCATTTGTTACTTCAAGGCTGGACTATTGTAATTCTTTACTATCAGGAAGTCCACAAACTGTAGTTAAAAGCCTTCAGCTGATCCAAAATGCTGCAGCCAGAGTTCTGATGAAAATTAAAAAGAGAGATCACATCTCGCCTATCCTGGCTTCTCTTCATTGGCTTCCTGTTAAATCCAGAATAGAATTTAAAATCCTCCTTCTCACATATAAAGCCTTAAATGGCCAAGCTCCATCTTATATCAGAGATCTGATTGTTCCTTATGTTCCTAACAGAGCACTTCGCTCTCAATCTGCAGGTTTACTAGTGGTTCCTAGAATTTCTAAAAGTAGAATGGGAGGCAGATCTTTTAGTTATCAGGCTCCTCTCCTGTGGAACCAACTACCAGTTTTAGTCCGTGAGGCAGACACCCTGTCTACTTTTAAGGCTAGGCTTAAAACTTTCCTTTTTTTAAAAAGCATACAGTTAGGGTGGCTCAGGTTATCCTGAGCTATCTCTATAGTTATGCTGCTATAGGCTTAGACTGCTGGAGGACATAGGGACCCCTTTTCCATCATTCTATCTCTATTCTTCCATTCTACAGAATCTGTTATTTCTCTCTAGAATGGAGTCACAGCCAAACAGGAAAAGACAAAGCTACTATGGGAAAAAGCAGAGAGAGCAGAACGTTAGAGATCTAACTATCAGCTGTGCTGCTGATATCAACACCTTTGTTTATAGATGTTGGAGATCAACCTCTCTTTCTCTGACTGGCTGGAGGTGCCCTCTTCATCCTCTGACATGGGAGCTGGCTCGGAGCTTTTGCCTGGCTGTGTGTTTCCTGGACAGGGCATTTTCTATCTCTGCTTCTGTCTCCTTGAACCCCAGGTTGCTTCCTGTTAAAAGGGAGATTTTCCTCTCCAAAAGTCCTTCTCCTGAAGGACCTTTGGCATTAGCCACTCTTTAGAATTCTTATCCCCACTATGTTTACCCTCACATGGAAGCACCAGTCCTTAGATGGGACTCAAATTCTAGATGACCAGTCTGTAACCCGAACCCTCAGTCCAAAGACCCAACTATGCTGCTACCATGACTTTCCGTCACACTTAAACCATCTAAAACCTTCCCTGACATCACATAATTTTCCTCAGACAATTTGACCGAATTGCAACAGCCATTAACCTGAATGAAAGAAAGCAAACCGATCTGGTTCTGACCTTTACCTCCACATCAAGAGGCCTGGTGATCATGCCAATTTAAATGCAAAGCAATCAGCAACATCTGATGACCAATCAGAATCTTCAAGGATCCACTCATTCAATTCAATTCAGTTTATTTCTATAGCGCCAGTTCACAACAAGTCATCTCAAGGCACCAGATCATATAGTCAGATTGATTCAAAGTTTTCCATCTTAGGGAAATCAGTTGATTGCATCGACTTATTGACTCGAAGGCAATCCCTCACACCAACCATGCTTGTAGCAACAGTGGAGAGGAAAGACTCCCTTTGAACAGGAAGAAACCTCCAGCAGAACCAGACTCATAGTGAGCAGCCATTTGCTGAGGCCGACTGGGGTTCCAGGAGACAGAAGCAGAGATACAAAAAGAAGCAGTGATACAAAAGGCAACTGTAAAAGGCGGCCCCACCCAGGAAACACAGCCAGGCAGACGAGATCCGAGCCAGCTCCCATGACAAGAGGATGAAGAGAGCACATCCAGCCAGTCATAGTCAGAAACAGGACTACACTGAAAAACAGGCCGATCTCCAACATCTATAAACAAATGTGTTGATGCCAGCAGCACAAACTGATATTTCTCTCCAGGATGGAGTCACAGTCACACAGACGAGGCAAAGCTACTCTGAGATAAAGCAGAGAAAGCATAACGTTAGAGATTGAACTAACAGATTCTGCAGAGTGGGAGAATAGAATCATCCGCATGGTCAACAGCTTATGTTACGCCCTTAGTGGATGGCCTGGATAGAAGAAACGCAATGGTACTAAGCATAAGGCCTTGTTGGACGCCACAACTCAGTTCTCAGGATTAGGAAAACACTTTCTTCTAGATCTCTGTTCAGTTCACATTGTCCATACAGCAGTACTCACCATAAATAACCAAAGGTGTTCTACAAGGACACATGGGTCTGTATTATGTCAAGGGCAGCCCAAATGTATTCCTTTTTCCAGTCCAAAATAAAGGACAGAACTGAGTTTTGATACAGACTGAGCAGAAATGACTTTGCTCAATAAGATCAACCATGGGTTCTATTTAACACACAACCGTCAGTATTTATAATCCAGAGAAGTATTAGAACAACCCCACAGACTGTTCAAAATAGGCTTCTGTTCATTTCTCTGTCTATGACAATTTAAGTCACCAAAGAACCATCCGGGAGTCTACCTGACATGCATCCACTCCGCCTTCATCCTTCCCGGCACAGAACATGGACGAGTGGACTCTGCCCTTGTAGTACTCATTACAATCATCCAACGCCAGGAGGCTGACGTTCACCTCTTGCAGTCTGTTAACTCGGGGACCATCTGCAAATAAAAGAAGGTTTAGAGTCTCCAGAACTATCTACCTGTTCTCCAGTGTCCTACAAATCCACCCTGAACAGACTTTCTCTTGTAGACCCCCAGCCGGTGATGGTGCACTTCATGGTCTCGGGCAGTGGGCTCATCCAGATGTCGATAGGTCTGACGAACTCGTTAAAAACCAAAGGATGCTCCAGCTTCAGCAGGGCTATGTCACTCTCTTTGGTTTTGGTGTCATACTCTTGGTGGCTGATGATCCGAGAAATACCCACCAGCTGACCAGAAAGAAGAACAGAGTTCAGTTATGTTGGTTGTTCTGCCTCAGAAGGAGCAGAAGAGTTTGAGGATCCAGTTCTTGGACCAAAGCCCACCTGCTCTCCTGATTCTTCAGGCTTATCCAGGTCATGTTTTCCTGCCAGAACCTTCCATAGAGATTCTTTGTTAAATCTGTGAAAACATCAGCTTGAGCCACGAGGATCGTAAGCTCCCACCTCCAGATTCAACTCAACCTCTGACCTTTTGAAGCAGTGGGCAGCTGAGATGACCCACTGTGGCCCAATGATGGCACCGCCACATGCCGGCATGGAGGAGAACTGAAGGGAGACCTGCCAGGGCCAAGAGTGGGCCCAGGCCTCTTGGCCCCCGATGATCCTGGTCTCCATGTCCATCTCAGCAGGGAAGGCGCGCATGCCGGCAATATCTGAGGAGGTTCAAGGAAACACAGGAGGAGAATCTCTACAAGCAAGACCAAACACAAAACCCAGGTCTGGTGATGTTCCACCTGCTGGTCAGACTCACCCCTGAAACCAAACCAGCCAGAGAAGGTGGAGTGTTCCTGCAGAGTTTCATTCAGAGTCACGTTCAGCAGATTCTGGGTCTGATTCTGGTTCCCATTCTGGTTCCCCTCTGAAAAATTGACCCAATAATCACCTCAGAACATTTGGATCTTTTGAAAAACATCTTTCTTCCATCCTTTTGGGAGAAATCGGTCAGCTCAGAGAGTCTGGGTCAGGTTTTGGTTGGAACCCAAACGTACCTGTTGCTTATTTAAAGTCGTAGGTAAGCGGCTGTTCCTACCGGTGCATTTCCGAAAGCTCCAAAGTGGTACCCGTCTTTATACGAGTGCCTAAAGTGAATTTGATTGATCGTTTAAGAGGGCAGGGTTGCTGTGGCGGAAGGTTCACAAGCAAGTTTGTTTGTGGCCGGTTTCTCAACAGCATCTTGCTAACCAGTTAGCAACTTAGTGCTAGTAGGTTCCCAATGGGAAATTCCATTGGGACCAAGTAGCACTAAATTGGTGACTTAGAAACGACGCAGTCAAGGAATGCTATGGACAGCGGAAACATGCAAGAGGAGGAGAGTTTAGTGTCGGAGGTCGTGGATGAGTCTCCTCCGTCATCCATTTTTTATTTAGAGGAGGAAAGCGGGACGAAGATGTTGTGGAAGAGGACGGCAGAAGCTTGGTTTGGTGTAGAAGGCTTACAGCCGTACATGTTGAGCCCTTGCCTCGCAACGCTGCCAGTTCTGTTAGCTCTACGCCTGCTGAAGACACAGACGTCCATCCCCGTGGACACTGGGACGGAACTCAATGGGAAAGGAAAGGATTCTGATTTCAACCATTGCATATGAATTAAGTGCTACGCTACGCTATGACCGCAAAAAATTGACAGATGACTGTTATATAGGGATATATGATTGGCTAAATTTAGGTTTACAGGCTGACATATAACTAACTGGCCTGCATAAGATAACGATAAAAAAACAAAACAGTTTTTAGGACAGGGTTTTTTTTATAGAAATGTTCTAAATGTTAGGACAATATCATCTGGCAAAGAGTAGATTTATATACATGTTTAAGCCAGAATGATTTGAGATTTAAATATGACTTTCCTACAACTTTAAGAAAACCAACCTTAAACAGAGGGGGTGGATTCAGTGGAGGACCTCGCCTGTCCAGCCAGGCCAACAATTCACTTTAACAACCCTCCTTTCAGACACTTAGAAGGGTATAGGGCATTGCAGGCTAACAAAAGAAGCCAAACGGAGCTTTGTTGGGCTACTGTATAAAACCTCAAACTCAACACTATTCCTACCTTTTGAATTGAAAAAGCTTCCTGGGTGGGTAATGTTTCCAAACTTGGAAACAAAGTCCAGTGGATTGTTTCTAAGTTTCCTTCCCCCCCCCATTTCCATTTTTTGAAAGGACTTTGACCCGAATGACTGAGAATCTTCGGCAGGAGACAGAACTTACTGGTTCTGATGTCATCACAAGAACCGGCCTGTTTAGCCTAAAAAACTTCACTGGGCTCTGGAGGTTTAGTTGAGGTTTGATTTTTTATTTTTTTTGTACATCAGGAGCTATAATCTAAACAGAGTTCTAGTTAGAACCTTGTGGATCCCAGAGTTTTTCACTCTGGGTTTCCTTTCATTCCTTCTTTGCCACTTTGCAAACATTCTGGCCTGGTTAAAACAGGAGATGCTTCACATCAGTAGATCCAGTTAAATCTTCCAGAACTTAATGTTTGCCGGAAGTTCTATCTTAAATTTGTGGGTTTTCACCTTTTTGGCTTCATTCACAGCAAAATAAAACCAGATCAGTTCAGTTGGATCCAGCTACACACGTTCTGTTTGGTGGTTTGAGTCCATTTGCATGGAGCAGGTTTTTCTCACCTGTCTGAAAGGAGACGACCACAAACGACAGAAGGCAGCAGAACCAGAGCAGCATGTCTGTTTGATCCATCCACTGAGAGCTGCTGAGCTGCAGCTTCATCAGGCAGCTCCTACACTCAGCTGTCTGATTGGACACACCTGGTGTTACAGCAGCAGATCAGGCCTAGAACCAGCGGCCTGGATGGAAACAAGCTGGAAAATGTAAATATATGGAGGGACTTTTGGTCCACAATTGTAGGAAGCCAAGAAAACTTTTGTAAATTTGAAATGTACTCCAGAAATACAACTTTGAAAATTGTTTGAATCAAAAACAGTTCAGAGCTTGTTTTTGTTTAGCCCTTCTCTGGAGAAGCTGCTTTGGCTTCTACCCGCCAAAGACGGAGGGTGCGTTCGAATTTATGGGCTGCGTCTTCAAAGCACCTGTTCTACCTTGACTGGATCCTTCAAAATCTGTGAAAAAAAGGAGACCGCAAGAGTTTTGGATGGGAATTCAAACAGGTCTAGCCTTCAATGGCTTTCTCCGCAGTACGCTCTGTCGCTTAGCAACCTTGACAGTTGACACACAAAGCAGGAAAAGAATGAATACTGAAATTTTCAAAACTGTTTCTTTTACATTTTGTTTTTATTTTTTTTAATTGTAAAGTGAACACAAAACTCATAATGTAATAAAGGTTCCAAACACCGGAAGCATGAACACATAAAAGCAAATGTAATGCTATAAACCTTAGTGAGTCAAATAACATGCTGCTGTCATTCTGCACATCTCTGATGTTGCTGCTATTTCCAAGTATCCATTACTGTAAAAATGTCCACAGCTGTTTATTGGATATTTATTCTCCAGGTGAACAGTTTTATATTGTTAAAACACTTTATAGTATTTTATTGTTTATATTTTAACTCTTCCCTATTATGTTAATTCTTAGACATCTTTCTAAGGTCCACATTTGTGAGACAATTTTTCTCTATAATCTTTTTGCTGATATAAACACCAAAATTTCCCCATTGTGGGACAATGAAGGGATTTTCTATTATATTCTATTCTTTTCTATTCTATAAAAGGGGTAGAAAGATATAAGTAAATCTAAACAATGTATGTATAAAAAAATATATCTGAAAAATCTCTTATATTCAACAACAAAAAAATACGTAGTTAAGCATGTTGTGCAAAATAACAATTAAAGAATAAAAATCCTGTTAGATTTATAGTCCTCACTCTGCAGATATATTAGAATCTGTCCTTAAATTACAGCCAAACCCATTTACACAGTAAGGCTCTGAACTTCTACTGGAAAAGCTAATGATGGATTAATTATTGACATTTATTACAGATTCATTTTTCTCTACTCTAGTGTTCCGGTTTACTTACTATAAAAATAAAAAATGTTCTACCATAATCTGTTCTTCTGGGAGGTGGTTGTTGGTGAAAATCCAAAAACTCTGAATTTTAAAACTGCAAGGTACCAACAGTTGTAATCGTTTTTAGCCACCTTTTGTAGTTTAAACTTTAGGTAATGTTCTTCATCATGACTATTACCAAATCATTGGCTGTTCTGCTCATTAAAAAGATGGACTTAATAAAGTGGCTAGTATTTCTATCAGTACATTCAGACTTAGAGATTAGAGGTGGGCACTAAGGGGGGCGCTGCAAGCTGAGAAAGCTGACTTTTTTCTTCAAACGGATTAAATTCACATCTGAACACCATCTCCAGGTGAGATGGTGGGCCTAGTAGTTAGGGCATTGTGCCTGAGGTTCTGAGTTTGAGCCCCACTATGGTCCCCGGGTGCCACACAGTAGCAGCCCACTGCTCCCCAAGGGGATGGGTTAAATGCAGAGAGTGAATTTCCTTGCTCTGTATTTGTGACAGTATAATGACATTAAAAAAAGCTGAAAAACAAATACTTTCAGTTACTGAAGTAACCTTTTGATAGAAGTTCACTTTTAGGTGTTACTGCTTCATATAGTGTCTGATGGATGAAGGGTGGATGGATGGATGGATGGATGGATGGATGGATGGATGGATGGATGGATGGATGGATGGATGGATGGATGGATGGATAGATGGATGGATGGGTTCATAGAGGGATGATGGATGGATGGATGGATGGATGGGTTCATAGAGGGATGATGGATGGGATGGATGGATGGATGGATGGATGGATGGATGGATGGATGGGTTCATAGAGGGATGATGGATGGATGGATGGATGGATGGATGGATGGATGGATGGATGGGTTCATAGAGGGATGATGGATGGAGGGATAATGGATGGATGGATTGATGGATGGATGGATGGATGGATGGATGGATGGGTTCATAGAGGGATGATGGATGGATGGATAATGGATGGATGGATGGATGGATGGGTTCATAGAGGGATGATGGATGGATGGATAATGGATGGATGGATTGATGGATGGATGGATGGATGGATGGATGGATGGATGGATGGGTTCATAGAGGGATGATGGATGGATGGATAATGGATGGATGGATTGATGGATGGATGGATGGATGGATGGATGGATGGATGGATGGGTTCATAGAGGGATGATGGATGGATGGATAATGGATGGATGGATTGATGGATGGATGGATGGATGGATGGATGGGTTCATAGAGGGATGATGGATGGATGGATAATGGATGGATGGATTGATGGATGGATGGATGGATGGATGGATGGGTTCATAGAGGGATGATGGATGGATGGATAATGGATGGATGGATTGATGGATGGATAATGGATGGATGGATTGATGGATGGATGGGTGGATGGATGGATGGATGGATGGATGGATGGGTTCATAGAGGGATGATGGATGGATGGATAATGGATGGATGGATTGATGGATGGATGGATGGATGGATGGATGGATGGATGGGTTCATAGAGGGATGATGGATGGATGGATAATGGATGGATGGATTGATGGATGGATGGATGGATGGATGGGTTCATAGAGGGATGATGGATGGATGGATAATGGATGGATGGATTGATGGATGGATGGATGGATGGATGGATGGGTTCTTAGAGGGATGATGGATGGATGGATAATGGATGGATGGATTGATGGATGGATGGATGGATGGATGGATGGGTTCATAGAGGGATGATGGATGGATGGATAATGGATGGATGGGTGGATGGATGGATGGATGGATGGATGGATGATGGATGGATGGATAATGGATGGATGGGTGGATGATGGATGGATGGATGGATGGATGGATGATGGATGGATGGATGGATGGATGGATAATGGATGGATGGGTGGATGATGGATGGATAGATGGGTTCATAGAGGGATTGATGGATGGATGGATGGGTTCATAGAGGGATGATGGATGGATGGATAATGGATGGATGGATTGATGGATGGATGGATGGATGGATGGATGGATGGGTTCATAGAGGGATGATGGATGGATGGATAATGGATGGATGGATTGATGGATGGATGGATGGATGGGTTCATAGAGGGATGATGGATGGATGGATAATGGATGGATGGATGGATGGATTGATGGATGGATGGATGGATGGGTTCATAGAGGGATGATGGATGGAGGGATAATGGATGGATGGATTGATGGATGGATAATGGATGGATGATTGATGGATGGATGGATGGATAGATGGATGGATGGATGGGTTCATAGAGGGATGATGGATGGATGGATAATGGATGGATGGATTGATGGATGGATGGATGGGTTCATAGAGGGATGATGGATGGATGGATAATGGATGGATGGATTGATGGATGGATGGATGGATGGATGGATGGATGGATGGATGGGTTCATAGAGGGATGATGGATGGATGGATAATGGATGGATGGATTGATGGATGGATGGATGGATGGATGGGTTCATAGAGGGATGATGGATGGATGGATAATGGATGGATGGATTGATGGATGGATGGATGGATGGGTTCATAGAGGGATGATGGATGGATGGATAATGGATGGATGGGTGGATGGATGGATGGATGGATGGGTGGATGGATGGATGGATGGATAATGGATGGATGGGTGGATGGATGGATGGATGGATAATGGATGGATGGATGGATAGATGGATGATGGATGGATGGATGGATGGATGGATGATGGATGGATGGATAATGGATGGATGGGTGGATGATGGATGGATAGATGGGTTCATATAGGGATTGATGGATGGATGGATGGATAATGGATTGATGGATGGATGGATGGATGGATAGATGGATGGATGGATGGATGGATAATGGATGGATAATGGATGGATGGATGGATGGATGGGTGGATGGATGGATGGATGATGGATGGATGGATGGATGGATGGATGGATGGATGGATGGATGGATGATGGATGGATGGATAATGGATGGATGGGTGGATGATGGATGGATGGATGGTTGGATGGATGATGGATGGATGGATGGATGGATAATGGATGGATGGGTGGATGATGGATGGATAGATGGGTTCATAGAGGGATTGATGGATGGATGGATGGATAATGGATGGATGGGTGGATGGATGGATGGATAGATGGGTTCATAGAGGGATTGATGGATGGATGGATGGATGGATGGATAATGGATGGATGGGTGGATGGATGGATAGATGGATGATGGATGGATGGATGGATGGATGGATAATGGATGGATGGATAATGGATGGATGGGTGGATGGATGGATAATGGATGGATGGGTGGATGGATGGATGGATAGATGGATGGATGGATAGATGGATGGATAATGGATGGATGGATAATGGATGGATGGATGGATGGATATATGGGTGGATGATGGAGGATGGATATTGGATACAGGTAATTGGGAAGTCATAGAACTCAAACACTCAGATCTTATTTCCTCTGACTGCTGCAGCTTCAATCCCAGTTTAACCACAGCTTTCCCTCTGACTGGTTGACCTTCCCAGTCTCCAGGTTCCAACCTGCTGTTGCTATGTGAAGGTGGAGAACATCTGGACCTGTTGCTCCTCCCCCACTGTCAGCACCTCCCCCGCTCTGCCTCCCTCCTCTCCTCCCTGACTGACTGATCAGTCTCTGGGAGCCCTCAGCCCAGGCGTCATGGCCTCCATCAGCTCATCGATCCTCCAGGCAACCCGGTGTCTGTGTGACAGCAGCGGGTCCATGCAGCTGCAGCAGCTGCAGCAGGAGATGCAGAGGCGCTGCAACATCTCAGATGAAGACTTCCTCTACATCATCCATGGCTGCCCAATGCGCTTCCTGCTGGTTCCTGAGGGCAGCTCCTACAAGGTGGTTGGCCGCACCTCCCTGCGGCTCTGCAGCTCCTACAGCCACGGAGAGCCGTGCGGAGAAGGCTGCCAGCAGCTGCACCTCTGCTTGTTCTACTTCTATGGGAACTGCAGGTTCGGGAAGGGCAGGTGAGCCGCGCTTACAGCTCAAGTCGTGTTTGTGTCCTTCCGCGCAGAGTAACCCCTTATTAAAAAGGATGATTCAGATGAAAAACTAGAGCCGCTCCGGGACTATTGCCCTCCGCGGCGGACCGATACAGACCGGGTCTCTGTGAACAGGTCAAGGTAAACTGTTCAAAATGAGGGGAAAAGGTTTTATTTGTAATAAAACCGGGTTTATTTCACTGGTTCCTAACGTAGGCTGAGCTTCAATAAATTCTACGTTGATTCTAAAGTTTTCTGACAGAATCAACCAATTATAAACCCTTTAGTGTCCCGGCCCATTCATATTGTTGCTCTGATCATAGAACAGAACAAAATAACAACCGAAACTAACACGCTGAGCGTCACTCTGACGTCACATGACTTCAAACGAGTTTAGATTTCAGAGAAACGAAACCAGAAAATAAACATCCTGAATGGGCTGGGTCAAAACAAAGACTCTATTTATGGATCAAACCGAACCGACAGATTCTAGAGGGTTTGGTTTCTAGAACTAGTTGGAATAGAACAAACACGGTCCATTGAGAACCAGTGGATGATCATGTAATAACTTTAGATTAGTTATTGAATAACATTTATTATAAGTCATAGAGAAATCATATTTAAATGTCAAATCATTCTGGCTTAAACATGTATATTATTGTACTCTTTATCAGACCATATTGTCCCAAAAGTCTTAAATCCTGTTTTAAAATCTGTGTTTTTTTGTGTTTTTTTCCGTTATCTTCTGCAGGCCAGTTAGTTATACGTCAGCCTGAACACCTAAATTAGGCCAATCATATATCAATGGTCATCTGTCAATCAAATGTTTTTGGTCATAGCATCTTGATTCATATATCGCAGCTAATATACGCAACGGTTGAAATAAGAAATAAGAAACAGACACTAAACTCTCCTCTTGCATGTTTCCTCTGTCCATAGCGTTCCTTGACAGTGTCGTTTCTAAGTCATCAATTTAATGCTACTTGGTCCCAATGGAATTTCCCATTGGGAACCTACTAGCACTAAGTTGCTAACTTGTTAGCAAGATGCGTCCGACAAACAGGCCACAACCAAAATGCTTGGGAACCGTCCGCCATAACAACCCCGCCTCCTTGATAAACAACCAATCGCATTAACTTTATTCCCTCGCACCACTCGAGAGAATTCGGAAAGGCAACAGTTGGAACAGCCGCTTCCCTATTACGCCGATGCCATTTTTAGGCCCCGATACCTGGCTGTGCAGTATTGGCCGATACCGATACCATCTGTTTAAAATCGATGTGTGTATATATGGAGACCTGCATACTACTTGGATGTAAAACAATTGCCATCATTGCTTTGTCAAGCTGCTGCCTACCTTTGTGAAGCAGAAAAAAGACTAAAACAAAGTGAATCCAGTAGAACTTTTTATTGCCTACCTGGAATGGGTGACAATAGTTCGGTGCCCTATTTGTTGGTACTCGCCGATACCGATACCACCAACTGATACTGGTATCAGTATTGGGGCAACGCTACTATGTACACAAAGATAATTAATGAAAATGGTTGAAAGCCATAATAATGTGCTAAAATATCCTGGTTAGACGTTTGAGAGGATCTCTCTTCTTCTCCATCATCAGATTATCACCATAAAAAGGTTGAATCTGGGTTCTGCTGGAGGCTCCTGGCTTAATTGCTCCTGTTTGAACAAGCCCATTTATTTTCTGCTCTTTTCGCAGGAAGCCGTGTAAGTTCTCTCATGATGTCTACTCCAAACATAACTACGGGTTGCTGAGAGAATGCACGCTGCAGGAGCTGAAAGAGGACGAGCTGTTCCTGCTGCTTCTGCAGAACGACCCCCAGCTGCTGCCTAAGGTAACCCTCACACCTGGTTTCCCTGACACCTCATGGAGCTCCCACATGCCCAGCCTGAGATTCAGAAAGACCCCCCCCATAGGAACTAGCTGTAGGTCTAGATACGGCAGAGGCGGTGAGGAAGTGCAAGTTTGTACGACAACGGAGGGACATGAGGGCCAAAAAGAGCGGGGATCCAGGTGGAAAGCGTTCTCGCGCACCTCGCTCTTCTAGCTGGTCCAATCGTTTTCCACAATTGCAGTTGTCACTACCAGATCCGTCATGCGCCATCAGCTCATTTGGGTATCCAGATATACATCCAGGTCGCCCTCAATTTAATTTTGTTAAAAAGACCTAAACGTGATTTTCCCTCCCCAAAAATTAACTGCAACACACACACCCAGATGACCTGGCTTCTGAGTATAAACCAGCCTTAAGGCTGGGGTGTATAACAGCCACCAGAGGGCGCTAGTGATTCCTCAGCAGTAGAGTTGTCTTTCTATCAGATATTAACATTGAAGCATTTTCTGCAGACCCAGCAGATTTTGTCATCAGTAGATTCTGAAGTCTCACATGAAGCTGGCTTCTCATCCAGAAGGATTCTAAACGTTGGTGGAAAGCTCAGCGGTTAAAATCTGGACAACCTCACTCAACGGGCCATGAATCTTCAGCTCAGAGTCGGGTTTGTTGTTGTTTGGCTTTCCAAACAATCTGATATCCGCCCATAAGCCCTCGGGGGAACCCGATCAGGGCTGCAGATCAGGTGTTCTAGAGTGAAACCTGAGCCTCTTCCTCTGTTAGGTGTTGTTTGAAGGTCTAAGGAGGCCGTTTGGATGAGAGACAAGATGTGTTCGGGAAGCGAGAAGACCTGCTTCTACTAAAGAAATTAGGGCTGGGCGATAATTCAATAACGATATATATCGATCGATAGACGTGTGGCGCAATAGAAAAAAAGAGGGTCGATAAAAGTTCGATAAAAAAGAAACGCAGTTTTCCTTCCTTCTCATTGTAGCCTAGCATGTAGGTTTATGCTAGTCACTACTTCCTCCCAACCAATGACAATCACGGACCCAGGCACGCCGTCACCAAGCGCCGCCCTCTCAAACCACAACACAGAGCACATGAAGATGTGCAGCAAGGAGAGGCGGAGGAAATTGTTCCAAAAAAGGGTTTTTGTAGTTCGGCAGTCTGGCAGTATTTCGGTCATGGCAAGTCGGACCAAAAACAAACCACAGTCATCTGGAAAATGTGTCGGGAACCAGTGAAAACGAAGTCTGATAACACAACCAACTTTTTTTTTTTTTTTATCATCACAGCCGCAGGAGTACGAGCTGTGTAGGCCCCGGTGCGGCTCTCCTCCGAGGAATCTTCGGAAAAAATATATATATTTTCAGTTCTGGGCAGTTTCCCACGTAGTTCTAACAATTGAGAGAAAAATGCTGAGGGGCCAGAAACTTCAAAGTAATAACTCAGGTTAAAGCAGGAAACGGGGGCGGCGGCGGCAGTGGGGGGGCATTTATTTATTTGTTATATTTATTTTGGTCACTTTTCTGGTCACTTTAGTTTATTCTTTGTCAGTATTTAATAACATTACTCAGGTCTCTTAAGTTATTTTTCTTTAAAACAATTCTGTTATGGTTAAAAAAGTTGGTTAAATAAATATTTAATTCGAAGTCTGTGTTTGTGTTTTTTATTAAAATTAAATCATTTAGCAATATTATAAAAATTCCAGGCAGAGCTGCACATAAAATATGGTTTCAAATCTTTTCAATAATTATCGATATCGATCAATATGCATTTTTTTTTATCGATAAGCTTTTTTTCTATATCGCCCAGCCCTAAAAGAAATTCAATCCAGTTTTCGATTCAGTTTATTTCTAAGAGCACCAATTCACAACACGTCATGCCAAGGCACTTTACAGTTCACCCAGATCATCCAGTCAGATTGGTTCAAAGTTTTCTATCTAAGGAAAACCAGTTGATGCATAGAATCATTGACTCAAAGACAATCCCTCACACTAAGCATGCTTGTAGCGACAGTGGAGAGGAAAAACTCCCTTTTAACAAGAAGAAACCTCCAGCAGAACCAGGCTCAGTGTGAGCGGCCATCTGCTGAGGCCGACTGGGGTTCAAGGAGACAGAAGAAGAGATACAAAAGCAGCCATAAAAGACGGACCCATCAGGAAACACACAGCCAGGCAGACGAGCTCTGAGCCAGCTCCCATGTAAGAGGATGAAGAGAGCACATCCAGCCAGTCACAGTCAGAGAAACAGGACTACACTGAAAAACAGGCTGATCTTCAACAAATCCAAAAGCTCTTAGGATTATCATGGTCTGGATAACTTTTTATCCACACTTCCTATTTTACTTTGAAAAGCTCTGATTTCTACTCCCTGTTTCCTGCTCCATCTGCCCAAAATATCCAACAATGGTACCAGTGGGAATAAGTTCTGTCAAAAAAAGTCCAGGTCCTGCATCCAACTCTCGGAGAATCAGCATGTCATCCTTTCACTGATGTCTCATAGAGTGTTCGTGGTTTGATTACCTGGAACCAGTTGGACCAGTTTAACTCTGCCCTGCCCTGCCTAGAGAAAAGGGAGGAGGAAAGGATAAAGTTCTGACTGGTCTGAGGAGGCAGGAGGGAATATGATCAAGTTAAAAAATGAAAATAAAACAGAGGGAACCAAGATCAGAAGAAATGTCTGAAAACCAAATAATAATAAAAAGAAAATAAACAAATACATGAATTAAAGATAAATAAAAGTGTCACCAAAAGAATCCCTTGCAGGTAAAGACTTTTTTCTTTTTTCATCTTTGATCATTTATAAAAGGCTTAAAGTTGGACTTTATCTGACTCCATCATCATTTTGATCCATTTTACTGTTTTTCCACAATAATATGGAGTGAATTTTGTTTTATTATTGTCGCAAGGACATAAAAAAAAAAACAATGAAAATGGAAACTTTGGGGAAAAAATTATACTGAAACTTAAAAAAGTAATCCAGAAATGAAACTTAGTAAAAAAAAAAATTTTTTTTTTTTATCTAAGAATTGTTTTTAGACTAACTGCTGTTTTCTTATTGTTTTTAGAACACATTTTTCAAGTTTTATTTCTTAGTTTTTGTATTTTCTTTTTTTTTAACAAATGTTATAAAAAAATATTTTTGCAACAAATTTGGAGTATGTGAAATTCTTTTTTCCCCAAAAGTCTTTTTTCCAGATTTACAAATTGTATTTTTTCAATTTGTATTTTATAAATCATATTCTTGGGCGGGCTTTCATCTGGAGTGTTGATTGAAGTCGCGTTTCTATTGGTCCTCGTGGACATTAGCGAAACATTTTAATTGGTCAATGTCAGAATCAAAAGCAAGGGTTTGAATTGGGATTAAAGTGAAGAGAACTTGATCTGTAAAGCGCAATTCTTAAAGAATGATTTAAATAAAACTCAACCTAAAAAACAGAAATTTGAAAAAAGTGGAAGAAAAATAAAAACCTGTTTCTATGGCAACAACAAAGCATGCTAAAACTGGAAGGCAACCAGATTTCTGCTATTATTTTGGGAAGACAAAATTTGAAAATATAAGATTGGTAAAAACATTTTTTTACAAAAAGTCTAAAAATATATATATATATATATTTTAAAATATTTTACCTTTAAAAATAATTTGAAAAAATAATTTTGAAAATAAATATATTTGATAAAAATACAAAAAAATATAATAAAATATATATTTTTTAAGCAACAAAAAAAATAGATCTGAGAAAACATGAGCTTTGTTTTCAACAATAATGTAACAAACTTCACTCCATAAACTCACAGATTCACTTTCAGGACTTCCCAGCAGATTGTCTCCTTTAAGCATGAAATGATCAAAGCGGCAGCTGATTTGATGTCGCCGCTGTATTAATGTAAACTAATGTTTCCAAAACTTAAATTAAATCTGAGATTAATCTGACTTCTGCAAACCTGCCGGCTCTTCCTCAGGTGTGTATTTACTACAACAAAGGCTCAGCTCCACATGGCAGCTGCAACTTACGGGATTCCTGCAACAATGTGCACCTGTGTCAGCACTTCGTGCAAGGGAGCTGTAAGTTTGGTCACATGTGCAAGCGACAGCACACCATCGACCAGCATGGTCAGAGGGTCCTGGAGAAGAGAGGACTGGGCAGGGACATCATCGCAGATCTACCGAATATCTACAGGAACGTCCACCATCTCAAAGCTGCCGCCGCAGCATCACCTGCTGCTGCATCACCCGCTGCTGCATCGCCTGCTGCTCCATCGCCTACTGCAGACAGTGAGCTGAAAACGATAACGCTGCAGTTTTTACTCCCTTACATTAGTATGAATGAGAAAAGTACAAAAATATTTTAAGTAATTTGATAAAATCTGACAAAATGTCAAAAATGATTCATAAAATCTCTCTTAATGTCTCCTGATTACTGATATTTGTCCTCCTAAATGAGCTACGCCTATGGAGGACATACGACTGAAATGTTTGCTGATGTTCTTGATGGTTCCTGTCCGGTCAGGTCATGATCTCGATTCTGTCTCTCACACACAGATGCTGCCTGGTTCTGTAAAGCCGCTCAGACCGACGACGCGGAGGAAATCTGTCTGCATTTCATCAGGAACAGCTGCAAGTTCCAACGTGAGTTAATTTTTCTAACGTCTCATTCTAAGCAGAAGAGTGCAGGTTGTGGTTGTAGCTGCACTGACTGTCCTGTAGGTGGCAGCAGAGCACACTTAGGGTCTGAATATGTGGAGTTTTTCCTGCAGGGAACTGCCGCCAGGTCCACTTCCACCTTCCCTACAAGTGGGAGGTCCATGATGGCAGCGGATGGTCTGATCTGGAAAACATGGAGGAGATTGAAGAGGATTACTGCGACCCTGCAAAGACTCATAGGTGAGGCGGGTCAGCTCTGCTGGCATCAGGTCAGGGTTCATGAATTCTTCCCTGAACACCTCCTCTTTTTGACCAGCTCAGACTATCAGCGGGTGGACTTTGAGACCATGACATTGGAGTCCATGCCCGTACGCCGTCTCTCCACGGTCTCCTCAGTGAAGAAGCCGCCGCACTATAACCTGACGACTAAGTGGCTGTGGTACTACAAGCGAGAACCTGGGAACTGGTTGGAGTATGGACAGCTGGTGAGTGGAACAGCAGGTTCTGGGAGGGTCCCGGGTTCCTCTTTCTTAGATTCTAACATCATGTTACGGTTCTGTCAGGATGAGAAGCAGCAGTCAACGTCAGTGACATCACAGACTCTGGAGGAGGCCTTCCTGTCTGGAAAAACAGCCGAAGTTAATCTAATGAAGGGCCAAAAGGCTTATGTCGTCTCCTTCAAAGGTAAGATGGATGGATGGATGGATGGATGGATGGATGGATGGATGGATGGATGGATGGATGGATGGATGGATGGATGGATGGATGGATGGATGGAGGGTTGATGGATGGATGGATGGATGGATGGATGGATGGATGGATGGATGGATGGATGATAGGATGGATGGAGGGTTGATGGATGGATGGATGGATGGATGGATGGATGGATGGATGGATAGACGGATGGATGGATTAATAAATGGATGGATGGATTAATAAATGGATGGATGGATGGATGGATGAATAGACGGATGGATGGATTAATAAATGGATGGAAGGATGGATGGATGGATGAATGGATGGATAGATGAATAGATAAATAGATGGATGGATGAATGAAAGGGCAGATGGATGTAGGGTGGATGAATGAATGAAAGGACGGACCGATGGATGAATAGACGGATAGATGGATTAATGGATGGATGGATGGATGGATGGATGAATGAAAGGGCAGATGGATGTAGGATGGATGGATGGATGGATGGATGAATAAATGGATGGATGAATGGATAAATGAAAGGATGGACGGATGGATGGATGAATAGATGAATAGATGGATGGATGAATGAAAGGGCAGATGGATGTAGGATGGATGGATGGATGGATGGATGAATGAAAGGACGGACGGATGGATGGATGAATAGATGGATGGATGAATGAAAGGGCAGATGGATGTAGGATGGATGGATGGATGGATGGATGGAGGATGAATGAAAGGACGGACGGATGGATGGATGAATAGATGGATGGATGAATAAATGGATGGATGAATGGATAAATGAAAGGATGGACGGATGGATGGATGAATAGATGAATAGATGGATGGATGAATGAAAGGGCAGATGGATGTAGGATGGATGGATGGATGGATGAATGGATGGATGAATAGATGGATGGATGAATGGATAAATGAAAGGATGGACGGATGGATGGATGAATAGATGAATAGATGGATGGATGAATGAAAGGGCAGATGGATGTAGGATGGATGGATGGATGGATGGATGAATGGATGGATGGATGGATGAATAGATGGATGGATGAATGGATAAATGAAAGGATGGACGGATGGATGGATGAATAGATGAATAGATGGATGGATGAATGAAAGGGCAGATGGATGTAGGATGGATGGATGGATGGATGGATGGATGAATGGATGGATGAATAGATGGATGGATGAATGGATAAATGAAAGGATGGACGGATGGATGGATGAAAGGGCGGTAGGATGGATGGATGGATGAATGGATGGATGGATAAATGAAAGGATGGATGGATGGATGAATGACAGGACAGACGGACAGATGGTAGTCGTGTTAAAAACATATTCAACTACACAGACCAGTCAAATAAATCAGTCATTCAGGCTGCATTTTATTTTATTAGTCAGTCATAACAGCCCTCACAGTCTGATGTTCAGCCTGTTTCGGATCTAGACTTTGTCTCACTCACAATACAGGAAAACTGTGAAAGTTGTCAGAATCAAAATAAATGACAGTAACATGTTATAGATAAACCTCGAGAAAGAACCCGCCTTGTTATGGGAATAGAGTTTCTTGTCTCCTCTCCCTCAGACATTTTGTGGCCTACAGTTAAAACAGACGCTGTAAAAACATTTTTTTAAGTAAAAAGAAAATCAGTACTCATAAATCAATATGTGAAATTGGAAAATAATAGGAATCAAAATTTTCCAACCACAATGAGTCAGGAAAGTTTTCATAGATTTCTAACAGTCTGATAATCTGTTTTATAAATAAAAGTATCATCAGCATATGGACTGATTTTAGTCCCGGATTTAAATCTGTAGGAAAGATTCAAATGGAAGACGCCCAAACAGATACTTGAAGGTGTTTTCTTGTTAGCGGAGCTCTGACCGTTCTCCTCCCTCTGCAGACATGTACCAGAGGAACCCCAAACACAACACAAAGAGGAGAGTCGTCCGCCGTCCTCGCTTCGTCTCCAAGGCTGAGGTGGACAAACTGGTGGCTATTATGCGGAAATGTTCTGGATGAAGCGCTAACCTGAGGCTTCTAGACTTTGGTAGTCGGTAACCGTGGATCTGATGGACTTAAAAACAATTGGAATCCTTCTTTATAGTTTTTAACCAAAGGAAAAGACATTTCTTCTTTTATTGGCTAAAAATTATCTGCTTTCATGTCAGCCGCTTTCCTCTCCTCAGCATCATCTGCTGTCTTAGCTATCTTTGAGTCATTATTTGGTGTTTTGACCTCCTGGTCTGTAGAGCAGACTGAAGACCACAGGATGAGATGGTCTGCATCATTTTAAAGATCTCTGACTGACTGGGATCCAGTTCCAGAACCATCTGATGGGCTCCAGTTAAATCTCTGTGGTCTAAATTCCTGAACATGAAGGTCGTTACTGATGTCTGCGCGGCGTTCCTTTACCTGAAGCACTTTGTTTATGAAACTGCACCTTATGCACGTCCTGTAGATGCTGCTGCTTTCTCAGTTTTAGCATAATCCTCTGTTTTTCATTAAAAAATATATATTTTCTTGCACATTCTGTGGTTTTTCTGTCCTGCTTCGGAGCTGGTTTCTGTTGATGCCAACATGGATGCTCCGGTCACGTTTGTAAGTTTATCGGTAAAGCCTTCGGTTTCCTGTCGATTCCCGACTGTTTGGGGCAAAAAGAGCTCAATTGTGGACCATCCCCTGTGTTTCTAGGTAAAGGTTTGGTCCTCCAAACTCTCCTCCTCCTCATTACTCCTGCATCCAGCCTGATTCCACCACGAAGCAGCGCCCCCTGCTGTCTTTAAGCAGTTAAGGCAAATTCTACCAAATGGTGTCAGAACTACTAAACCGCCATTTCTGCTCCAGCTCCATCGGTTTGATGAAAGGTTCGGCCCATGATGAAGGTTCTGTGGGCGTTTGGTTCCAAATCCACAAGGATGGTTCTAGACAGGGGCCAACAGGGGCCAAGGCTTCTGTATTACTGGCCCCTGTTATAGCCCCTGAAAATATACACTGCAAAAAGTAAATATAAGTGAATGCCTTTTTCTTAAAATTGGTGTATTTTCCCTCAGGGGGGATTTACCATTAGGCAGTACTGGGCAGTTGCCTAGGGCCCCAAGTTCCTGGAATACAACTATTCCTTATCTGTGCACATTAATTATGTTTTTGATAGAAATCCTTTCGCTAAAATGCTATCAGAATGCTTATGATATTTAGTGTGTTTCAGCCCCCCCTTCAGTGTCCACCATATTGGATCAGTCCATTTGCTGCACATGTTCAGAAAGGTCCAAACAGACAGCAGCAAACCATTTGAAAACAAACCATGCAAATAGAAGTGTGTTGGCCCTAGGCAAAGACAGGCAGGGTGCCCTCTGAATTAAGAAGACAACACATTAAACAGACCCATTATACAGATACAGAAATTTTAATAGAATAAACATATTAGTTCTAGGTTGTGTCCCTCTCTTCTTGTCCCTTTTCTTCTTGTTTTCCTCTCTATTTTTTGTACTCAGCTGACTTTTCATGCTGTCTCTAAAGGAAGGAAAGATGTTATCTGTTGTTGCCAAAGTCTCCAGCAGCTGTAAAAAGTTGCTAGATTATTTTTTTTAAATAAAAGTGCTAGAGGGGTCTGAAGTGTTGCTAAATATAGCAACAAAAGCACACTTAATATTATAAGCGTTCTGATGGCATTTTAGTGAAAGGATTTTGATCGATTTCAATTCAATTCAGTTTATTTCTATAGCGCCAATTCTCAACACATGTCATCTCAAGGCACTTTACAGTTTCCCAGATCATCCAGTCACATTGATTCAAAGTTTTCTATCTAAGGAAAACCAGTTGATTGCATCGACTCATTGACTCAAATGCAATCCCTCACACTAAGCATGCTTGTAGCGACAGTGGAGAGGAAAAACCTCATTTTAACAGGAAGAAACCTCCAGGAGAACCAGGCTCAGTGTGAGCGGCCATCTGCTGAGGCCGCCTGGGTTCAAGGAGACAGAAGCAGACATAGAAATAGAAGCATAGATACAAAAGGCAGCCCCATCTAGGAAACACACAGCCAGGCAGACGAGCGCCGAGCCAGCTCCCATGCCGGAGGATGAAGAGAGCACAGCCAGTTAGTCACAGTCAGAGAAACAGGACTACACTGGAAAACAGGCTGATCTCCAACATCTATAAACAAAGGTGTTGATGGAAGCAGCACAGCTGATATTTCTCTTCAGGATGGAGTCAGAGCCAAACAGGAACAGACCAGATGAAGCTACTATGAGAAAAAGCAGAGAGAGCAGAACGTTCGATGTTATTAAAAACATAATTAATGTGCACAAATAAGGAATAGTTGTATTAACCATTCATGTAAACAGAGTTTTATGGGCCCCCAGGAATTTGGGGCCATAGGCAACTGCCTAGTATTCTCTAATGGTGAATCCCCCCCATGTGGAGGTGTGATCAGAGGATGTAGCAGCTGCTGCTGCAGTGTCCATAAAGCCGCAGCAGGCGGCGCTGCTGCTGCATCAAACTGCAGGAAGGTTCAGTTTAGTTTTTAGTTTGATCAAAAAGTGAATTTGAACTAATTGAACCGCAGGTCCTGTGATCTCTGGGTCTTTCAGAAGGCAGAATCTGGATCATTTCCTGGGATCTGATTGGTTCTCCAGCTCCGCTTTTACAAGCTGCTGCTTCTCTAAAAATACCCGAAGGTGTCATCTGGACGGGGAGCCCCGGGTCTGGCCCTAGGAGGGGCCCCACCTCCCGCTCCGCCGTGGACCAATCAGCTGGCGGGCCGGCTCTCTGGGGGGCTGCAGATGGATCTGGTGATGGTGGGGGTCATTCCTGGGAGTCCAGCAGAGTGACGCTGATCTCCTTAACCCTGCGGGTCCCCTGGAGCCCAGCCTCAGTCCTCCGGGCCACAGCCCCGCAGTCTGCGCTGCTTTTCCTCGGAGCAAGCCCAACTTTTCTGGGATCCTCCCCCTCGGACTGGACCCTCCGGCTCTGGCCCCTGTGATCCTGGCTCTGCCCCCCGCCGCTCCTCTTCGGTTCCTCCGATATAAAAGGAGCGCAGCATGATGAAGAACAGCGGCTTCCTGGAGCCGCAGCAGCTCTTCTTCCTCAGCAACGCAGATCCAGAGGAGGAGGAGGAGGAGGAGGAGGAGGAGGAGGAGATGCCGGCCACAGAGAAGGACCTGGCGGAGGACGCGCCCTGGAAGAAGATCCAGCAGAACACCTTCACCAGGTGGTGCAACGAGCACCTGAAGGTGCTCAACAAGCGGATCGCGGACCTGCAGAAGGACCTGAGCGACGGGCTGAAGCTGATAGGGCTGCTGGAGGTGCTGAGCCAGAAGAAGATGTACCGGAAGTACCACCTGAGACCCAACTTCAGGCAGATGAAGCTGGAGAACGTGTCCGTGGCTCTGGAGTTCCTGGAGAGGGAGCACATCAAGCTGGTCTCCATCGGTAAGAGGCTGGGGGCCCCTGAGGCTCAGACAGGTGTGAGGGGCCCTGCCTGGTGCTTCCACAGCAGGACAGGCAGAGGAAGGAAGGTCCAGAAGCTCCTCACAGCTTTAGATGTTAGGAAGTTCTTCCTCTGGTCTTCACATCAATTAGAGGAACCTAACCTGCTCAGAGGCATGGGCGGTTCTACACAGGGGCCAACGGGGGCCAGTGCCCCTGTAGATCATGTCCTGGCCCCTGTAATGGCCCCTGTACTGAAGCCATAATACTCAAAGAAATTCTAATGATGATCTGCGCTGGAACAGACATGATTACTGATCAGTCCTTTGGATCCATTTCATTTATCTTTACAATTTCCTATTTACTAATTATTTAAAAACTATAAGGTGATAGCTTCAGTGGTATTGAGATAGGATCCCATTTTTTTAAACAGTTAAATATGTAGAATTCCTACATTATGAATGTAATTTGACCTATAAGACATATAATTTTAATTAAACTTAATTGAATAGAAATTTCATGCAGCTCTCTTAATATATTTGAATCCATTGCCTGGTAACCTGACTCCGCCAGATGGATTTGCTCCGCATTTCCATCCGGAAACCTTCCGTTGAAGTAATTTTGGGAAGGGGCGAAAATACTGGTTAGCTGATTGGCCTATGTTGGTGATAGACGGGCGAAATAAACCAATCAGATCAACGAAGCATATGACGTACTAACAGCCAGGCTACTCTTGCCGAAACCAGTCGGGAGAAGAGCAAAAACATCTTTTCCTCTGAGAAAAGCCTCCAGAGCAGTGTTTTGCTCTTCTTTCAGTGAAGAAATACTCTGTAATTCTGATAAAACTTGCTCGATAGCCACGCTAACGCTAGTTTCATCGGCTGAAGCCGCCATGTTCTTTAGACTGAACTGTCGCGCTTCTCGTTGCGTCACACCTCAACCCGCCTCAAAGCCAACGCTGATTGGACGTTCGTTTGGTGAACGGCTCCAAATGTTCTTTAATGGAGAGTCTCCAGACTGATTAGCGAGTGAAATCTTGAAAGCTCGGGCGGGGTTACCAATCTACTCGCTCTGGAGTGCAGAGTTCACTGCTTTTAGATGCTGTCGCTAAAGTCTCCATTAGCAGAATAAAGTTGCTACAATTTTTTTGTCACTTTTTTGCAATAAAAGCGCTAGAAATGATTAAAAAAGTCGCTAAATACAGTTGGAAACACTGATGCTCTTCGAGCTGTTTGTTTTCAAATGGTTTGCTGCTGTCTGTTTGGACCTTTCTGAACATGTGCAGCAAATGGAGTGATCCAATATGGTGGACACTGAAGGGGGGTTTCAGATCCTCTGAAAAACTTAACAAAACTTCCAGAATCTTCTGTAATGTTTTAAAGCTGAAGGTTCTGGTTGGATTCCTCAGATGATGCAAAAACGTAGAGAAAGGAAGGTTGTTTTGGAGATGTTAGAGGACGTTCCTCTGGGTTACATTTATCACTGGCTTCAGCTCATGTTTGAGCTTCTTAAACAGGATCATGGAAACATTTGAAAGATCTGTCAGTTCTCATGGTTTTCTCTTTAGATGCCAGATAACAATTAAAAAGGTAGCTTGGAAGTTCAGCAGATGAATATCTAAAGGTTTTAGTTAGCCTTCACCAGATGTTTTTATCTCTGAGAATTGAGAAGAACTGCAGGATGTTCTCATGACTGCAGATGATCAGGGGGTGGAGAAGATTAGGTTCTGATATAGAACATCTAGGATTCTTTTGACATTCAGCTGCAGGTTCAGGTCAGCAGATGCTGTTCAGAGGTTGAAAATTTTTCCAGAAGGTAACGTGCTCTGTGGACTCCAGCAGGAGGAGTTCTTGGAGATGAGATGCTTCCAGGATGGACCTTCAGCTCCTGGTTTCATTCATTACCGGTTCAGTGGGGACAGGCTGAGCTGCTGGGGGGTGGAGGTGATTGATGGAGGGACAGCTGAGCTCTGCCATTTCTTCACAGACAGCTGCTGAAAATAGACCCTATAGAGGAAAGCAGCAGGGCTGGCCCAAGCTGCTGGGCGGCCTGGGGACGGAAACCCCCTGTAGGGCCCCAAAGACCCCCGCCCCCCTCAGAAAATATGATCTAAAAGATCTCCAGAATGAGAATATGAACATGGTGTATTTTATGAGGTAATTTGGAAATATTTCAAGGATATTTTCTGGCTTTTATATAGATCGTTGATTGATTATTGATGCCTGGATAGTTTATGCTTTATGACATTTTTTATAGCCTTGTATTCTGATTGATCTTTGGTCTCCAGGTTTTCCATCACATTAGCGTCTGGAATTTATTTGTTGTTTCGTTTGCCATCATAATCTTCATCTATTCACATATTTTCAAAAAGCTTCTAGATGTTTGTTCCTCAGCATTTATAAACCTTCTAACCATCATATCTGGATTTTACTCGTTTTTAGTTCATTGTTTTGGTTAGTTTTTGTTATTATTTGATCCTTTTGAAATGTTTTTACATCAAGCTGTGGGGAGCATTTCAGGATCAGTTTGGTTTGTAGCTTTTATTATTTTCTGCATTATAATAGCTGTCGAAGGTTTTTCCATTTTCTTTATTTCTTTTTATTAGTTGACCTTATTTCTTAAACTTTGATTCTGGGTCTTTAAGGTTTATTTTTATTCCAGGTTCTGCCATTTAAAGCCTGGTCTCTTTTTCTGGACTCTTGTATTTCCCGTGTCTTTAGCTTGTTGACCGTATTGAACTCCTTGAGGACAGCAGCAGTTTTTCTGCTGCTTTAGGCCTCTGAACACAGAGCTTTGCTGTTTTGTGTTCTGCACCTTTAAAGCGGCTCCGTTCTGCAGAACTCTATCAGAGCTCTCAGTGTGAAGGTCCATTCTTGTATTTTCTAATTTTGTCTGTACGTGTTTGTCTGTCAGTGTAATGGTTGCCATGTGTTGCAGCAGTCAGCTCTTAGGAATGTCCATCTGAAGCCAGGACCCCCCCAGCACACCCCCACCCAACACACACCCCAAACACACACATCAGCACACATTCTCATTTTGCTATATGTAGTGAGGATCATGTGTTGATTTTTAGTCATTTTAACCCTTTCTATGGTCTGACTCTGACTATAACCCTAACCAACCACTATTGGCACAAACCCAACTCTAGCCTGGACCTAAACTCAGCTCATCTCTCATCCTTAAACCATAGATGGGTGATGAGGACCAGTAAAATGTCCTCACTGTGATGGTGAAATCATAAAATGGTGCTTACTCTCATACACTTCTTATTCTGAAGCTGGGAATCTCTGACACTTAGAGACTCTCTTGGAATCACTGGGACTCTTTGGGGCTCAGAGACTCTGGGACTCTCTGGGACTCAGGGACTCTATTAGACTCTCTATGACTCTCTGGGACTCAGATACTCTCTGGCACTCTGAGACTATCTTGGACTCTCTTGGAGTCTATTGGACTCTCTTGCACTCTCTTGGACTCAATAGGACTCCCTGGGACTCACTGGGACACCCTGGGAATCACTGGGACACTCAGGGAATCACTGAGACTCCCTGGGAATCACTGGGACACTCTGGGAATCACTGGGACACTCTGGGAATCACAGAGACTCCCTGGGACTCACTGGAACACTCTGGGAATCACTGGGACACTCTGGGAATCACAGAGACTCCCTGGGACTCACTGGAACACTCTGGGAATCACTGGGACACTCTGGGAATCACTGGGACACTCTGGGAATCACAGAGACTCCCTGGGACTCACTGGAACACTCTGGGAATCACTGGGACACTCTGGGAATCACTGGGACACTCTGGGAATCACTGGGACACTCTGGGAATCACCGGGACACTCTGGGACTCACTGGGACACTCTGGGACTCACTGGGACACTCTGGGAATCACTGGGACACTCTGGGAATCACTGGGACACTCTGGGAATCACTGGAAAACTCTGGGAATCACAGAGACTCCCTGGGACTCACTGGAACACTCTGGGACTCACTGGGACACTCTGGGACTCACTGGGACACTCTGGGACTCACTGGGACACTCTGGGAATCACTGGGACACTCTGGGAATCACCGGGACACTCTGGGACTCACCGGGACACTCTGGGACTCACTGGGACACTCTGGGACTCATTGGGACACTCTGGGAATCACTGGGACACTCTGGGAATCACTGGGACTCACTGGGACACTCTGGGAATCACTGGGTCTCACTGGGACACTCTGGGAATCACTGGGACTCACTGGGACACTCTGGGAATCACTGGGACTCACTGGGACACTCTGGGAATCACTGGGTCTCAGAGACTCTCTTGTACTTCCGAGGAAAAGTCTGGTTGGATCAGTCAGGGACCGACTAGGAACTGATCCTGTTTAGATTCTTTCAGCGGTTCTGTTTTTTTAGTCATGTGGGTTCTGTTGAACAGGGCTTCTGTTTGTGGTGGTTTTTGGTTCTGATCATTTAGTGAGAGTTGGGGTCCATCCTGGACATACCTAGTCCACAGAGACACACTGATCAGAAAAGCAGACCTCTGAACCAGTCAACCGACTAGTCCGGGGAAAACATGCAGAAATCTTTGATCTTTCTCTTTCGGTACCAGTTTTCTCTTCTCTTGGACTCTCTGGGACTGTCTGAGACTCATTAGGACTCTTTGGGTCTCAGACACTCTAAGACCTGGTTTGGGTCAGTTTCCCTTTTTTAGGTGGTTCTAAAACATGTACAGGGTTCCATCAGCAGGTCTCTGACTGGGAAAGTGTTTCCTGTTAATCAGCATCTCATTAAGATCTATCAGCTCATTAAAGTCTACTTGCTCCTTAGGGTCTACCAGTTTGTTAAGGTCTACCAGTTTGTTAAGGTCTACCAGTTTGTTAAGGTCTACCAGTTTGTTAAGGTCTACCAGTTTGTTATGTTCACTCTGTCAGTCTTATCTACAGAATCCAGTTTGAGTCGGTAGTAATTTGAAAGAGAGAGATATTAAAGGTTCTGATTCCTTCCTGGTTC